ATCTGCATGTCTAACCTATATCTGCATTGAATTAACACCTTTCTTGCAGTGACAATGTTATGGTGAAATATTCTTTGTTCTCAAGAAATTGAAATACATCTATTCTGTGGGCATTTATTTGCACATCCCCAAGTGTTGATAGTCATGTTAGATACCATTTTCATTAGCGTGAATGCTGATCTTGTTACAGCTAATTAAAGACCACATTTACAGCATTTAAAACAGTGCTTTATTGTTGCATTTAAGAAAAACAGTGCATAAATTTAAAGTTAATTCTTTAATTCACTTTAGGCAAATCTTAAAATTTGCAGGTTAAACTCAGAAAGCATTCTCTATTGCATATTACCAAATAATATGGGTAAACAATGAGGAAATATAATGTATATCTCATTTGAGATTAAACTAGTAAGAATGCACCTGGATTGTCTAACTCAGATTTTTTAAGCAATTGTTTACCTCTGTGTAGGAATGTATAGGACACTGATTTTAAATAACTATTGTCGGAGTCATTTAGTCTGAAGCAGACTAAAACTGGGACAAGAACATGATTAAAAATGAAAACTTCATGGTTACAAAGCTACAGTAGCCATTACAAAGTTGGCTGTCATTGGTAGTATATGTCTGGTCCTTAATTTATATAACTTAGTCCAAATTCAACAGCTCCTTTTTTGTGTCTCTTTATTAAATTTTATATCTTACATTTCTTGTACTATGTCTTCATTGGCAATGGCATGTTTAATTTAGTCACATTTCTGAGAGTGAGTGACAATAGATGTTTGACAACAAGGAAACAATTTGACCCTCATGTCCGTCTTCAGATTATTAACTTTAATAGAACAAGGTACATCAATGTATTCTGCTGCATGCATGGAAAGGAAGTATAATACTACATCATGTGATATAATGTGACATGAGGTTTTGTTGCACTTGCATAGTTGGAGTGGGTATGGCCTGCGCATGATGCATCTGGCCTGTGGGCTGCCAGTTTGACAGGCCTGCCCTACGCTGTCTCACCAACCTAAATGCAACAGCCAAAACTCAAAACTGGTTACAACAGTCAGGCGGATCATCTGTTCAGCAAGATAGCATTTCTATAGATCATAGGAATTCCACCTTGTCAAGCTAAAATTTCTTCCACCATAGAGTAGGCCAGCAAGCAGGTTGCAATCAACCTTATTATGAAAATATTAATTTCCATGGATGAAAATTAAGTGTTACATTTTATGTATCACTTATTTTTCATTAATGGAAATCAGTATTTCCAAATTATAAGCTATTGGAACCTTTAACGCCATGCTAAAAACAGAGGATCATGGATGTTAGTTCACCATAACTTGTAGTTAATGTGTGGTTTCTCATTATTGAATATATAGTTTGCAATGTGCTACAGACAGAAATTGCTTATTTTTATTTATTTTTAAGCCTTTTAAAACCAATCTGAGATCAGCACTATTTATTGCACTTTACCCTGCTAAGAGTCCAATTCTTGGTTATAAACAATTAGCAGCTGATTTTTTTCCAGATCTTTTCTGACCATCTGTTGTGATCCTGGAAAACAATGCTAATCAAAGTGACTAGTTGACTCAGATTCATAGAGATTGTAGTCATTTTTATAATATTTAACAAAATATAGATTCATTAAATTTAGTGTCTTGTTTTGGAAAGCATCAAAACAAATACTTTCAATGTATACTGTAGTTGTTGAGACAAGAAAGCCTTGCTTTGTAATTATTACCAATTAATTAAATTAATTAATAACAAAAGATTCAAGTATATAAAGCTCTATCAAATTATTATTTAGATATGAGAATATGATTAAAAATAATAATATGTCCTGAAGAACAGGTAGATTGTACCAAGATACTGAAACAGAAGCAACTATGTGTTTGATACAGGCAGTTGCCATTAACACCCACTAACATTAAAGATACTTTTGTTCTAATATTTTGGAATACAATTATGAACTGATAGAAAAAAAGCTTTTTAAAAAAATCATTTTCTAAGTAGTTAAAAGGAACTTGTATGGAATGCATTGCCAGTCCTCTTCAGGAAGAAAATAATTATTTCTTTATTTACCAATGTTCATTTATTGACATGGAAAGGTAACCTTATGTTTTTATCAAAATGAATTTTATGGAAATAGATGAAAAAATATGGAAAAATATAGAATGGTTACTGAAAGATTCAAAATGATGCATAGTAAAATCATTGTCTGGATGTAGCTGATTATCATGTATGTCACTGCAGGACTCCAAGTTGTTCACTGAACAAATTAATCTTCTTTAATGGGATCCCCATACATTGTCTTTATTCTAAGGCTTAGTCAAGTTTGAGAACTGGGGAAGAATCTGTGAAGGAACATATTCTTTATTCCCTCATCCCCTATGCAGAAATGGGCTTTTGATCAGGACTAATAAAGTGTTATGCCCATATGAATGATTGATTATCTCCTGTGGTGCCTTTTAGTCATCTAACTAAAGGCACTAATGTGAAGATTACCTCATCAAGTCTGAAATGGTGCACTGTCTCTATTCCACACAGCCTCATCTAATTCTTATTGTTTACATGCTTTCGGATATTTAGTAGAAATCTCGTGTGTGTGTGTGTGTGTGTGAGCTTTTGCAACTAATAATTCATGTATTTCTGTCCCAACTGCTTTTTATTTGGAATAAAACCTCCAGTCCAGTGGATAGGCCTTTGAGTCTGTTTTCTCATAAAATACTTACTCTTGGACCCCTTTCATGTATTTGCTTCCAAACATAGACCTCGCTAATAAATTAGCTGAATGTTGACCTTTGCTAGACCTTCCTCTTTGATTTATAAGAATTGCAATATTTCTGTTCCCAAGAGTAAATGTTTTGTTTTGTGTCTGTTTTTAAATCTTTAAATACCCTTACTTGGTTTTGGCTGAAGAATCTTGTTTTCCCTAATGGAAGAAACAACCCTGGAGTGTTATGCTTCTTTTCATGTGTTTACTTTGTCTAAACTGAGAAATTTCTCATTGCAAGGGTATTTAGAAAGTTTAGCAAAAAAAAAAAAACCATCTGTTTTGGCATGGAACCTACTTCAATACATATGACTCATCTCCATTGCTGTTGATTATTCCCAGTAATATAGTTCATTTTTCTCATCAGTCTTATTTTAATACCTTATTTTGAAGATAAAATAAAAATTTTAAATTAGCTGTCTTAAAGTTATAACATTGATCATTCTGCTCAATGAAGTTTACTGTACTTTTAACGAGCATTCACAATACAGCAAAGCTGTATTCTTACAAAGTCTTCTTTATGTATGCAGTATGAAATGAACATTTTAGAAATTCATTAGTAAAGACTAGTGGAAGGGATGTTTATTTGGAGGAACAAGATTGCTTAGAAACCTTTTTTAAGGTTAGTCTTTGTGATCTTCAGTAAAATGTGAAAAAGAATCCTGTCAAAAAATTAAAAGTCCATTAAAAATCTTAAGTCTGATCTGTTGTCTAGTTTTTATTTAAAACAGTAAGTGCCCAGAATAAGAGTGAGCAAATATTGTTAATATTTTTCCTCATCCTAACAGCAATGACTACTGTATTACACAAAAAGTGAACAGATGCAGGAACCCTTGCCTTCACAATATGTACATGCTTTTACCTAGAAAATCTGGGAAGAAATGGTTTTCCTGCTGTATACTGTATGCTGATTTATAAGAATCTCATTTGAAAGCAGAGTATTCTTGTGTTTAAGTTGAACCTTCCTTTTCATAAATATTAACACCAAACTCTTAGAATAGTTGTTTAGATTAGCTGACCAATATTATCTTCAAATTCAAAAGTTAATAAATAAATATTTAGTATTTAAATCAGAGGTCATAACCCTTTTTCTAAAGACTATGTCTGATAAATAGGGCACAGTCCTTGTTTCTTGAAAATTTCTTTGGTTTCTTCTGTCTCCTAAGCACATTTTTTGAATAATAGCTTCTCCTTGATCATACAATATTTTTGGAGCACAGTGTGGAAAAGGACATTACGAGAAAAGTCACTATTTTTTGAACCCATGGGCTCATCTTTTACAGGTGCCTATTTTTGGAATTAATCATTAATTCAATTTCTATGTACTGAATTATACAGTGCTTTGACACTAATTTCTTCTATAATATATTTTAATAATTCATTGTATATGAAGTTTTATTATATAATGTTGTTCTTTATAGCAGAAATTTTGAGTAGTTCGGAGAACCGGCAAATATCACCTCTGACTGGAGATTTAACAGTATCCTTCCCCTGCCACGCCCAACAAGCCACGCCCACAGAACTGGTAGTAAAAAAAAATTGAGTCCCACCATTGACACTAACCAAATCACGCTGAAATAATAATTAGTGGAATCTTAGAGGTAGCAAAATAAATTTGGAAATGCAAAATATTTTCCATATCCATAAATAGTTATTTTGATAATGGCCTCAGTCTTAATACTTTTTCTTTCAAACCTGTGTTTCTCCAAGTATAGTCCCAATATCCCTGGTGTTCCCCTAAGACCCTCACAGGGGTCTGTGAAATCCAAATTATTTGCCAGCCTATGTTGAAAAATAATATAATATTAAAAATCCACCAAACAATCATGACAAGCGGCAGCAGTGAATGCCTCCATTTTAATTTTGAATATTAGAAAGAATGTTAAATATAACCCAGTCAAACAAAAGCTCTTTTGAAATCCTCCATGATTTTTAAAAGAGGAAAGGAAACCCGAGAGAAAAAAAAACTAAGACAACATTTTGTTTTAAATTATTTAACTTCCCTTTTTCAGTTTTTCTCACAATAAGTGCTGAGGTAAGATAGCAATGTATCCATTATTAAAGAATCTGCTCTTTATTTTTTTAAAACATTTTTATAGTTGCTCATAACAAACTCCTGGTAGGCTTTTTGGCCTGAATGTTTCATGCTAGAAACAATGTCCTGTTAAAGCTGTGTGTTTGTTTGTCTGTATGTTTACTAGTTTTCTCTCTCACCCTCTGTTCAGTTTGGCCACTAGGGAAGACTGTAAATGCAGCTTGTGGAAATAAGAGACGAATCCAGACATTGAGATATTTGCTTGAGGGGAAGACTCACTTTCCAGGACCGTTCAGAAGGCTTCTCCAGGTCTGCACCAGCAAGCAGAGCAGCAATGCACTAACTGGCCTATCCTTTTGTGTGTGTGTTGGGTGCTATTCCGTTGTTTCTGATTGGTATTCTATGATTGACTATTTCAATTAAACATAACTGTTTTCTGAGTGATTTGGACAAAGGCAATCTACAAATTTAATTTTAAAAATACCTTGTAATGGCAGAATTCAACAATGATGATAAGAATAATAATGTCAGTAGCAATTTAATAATGTGACTTCCCAAATGTTGAATTGTTTCAGAAGGAGAGATAATTGCACTGGTGAGGCTATCACCCCACTGACTAGGCATTTTGAAGGCCAATTGTAATATTTAGCTATCTTGAAAGAAACAGCTGTTGTGGATTTGAAATCAGCTGTTTAATGCACATGTCTAAACAGATTTGATTGTTGATTTATTACCTTAAATATTATACCTCTAAGACGGACAAAATTTTTGGATACTGTAAATTTGTTATTTAAAAAGGACAATGTTTGATAACACCTTTGGAGAAGTTCTGTCATAAAAATATTTCAACCAAACTAGGAAGTGAAGTGGTTGGGTAGTGTTTGCATGGACATTTGAAATATTTATAGGAGGATTTATGAGGGCTTCTTAGCTACTGTGCGATTATATTTTTATGGAATAAAATTATAGCAGTTTTGTAATATCATTTTAATTATGAATTTTTTTAATGTGAAGAAAGTCTGCAAACCTATATGCACCTACGTGGCAGTAAACCTAGCTGTTCAAAATCAGCTGGCATAGAAAAATTATGTCTGTGCAAGGAAATATGTATTTAATAATAAAATGAATTGAAAATGAAGAATGTTATAAAAATACATTATCACTCTGAGATTATGTGGAAAACTCTGGAACACAATGATTATATATAATTCTATATCAGATCTCAGATTTTATGAATTATTACTAGACCAGTTTTTTTGAATTTTCTGACAGATAAAGCTCGTTCTAACAAGCAAATTTGTACTTGAAAATATTAGGCAAACTAGCTTTCCCAATATTGCTTCTCACGAATTTGCATGGATATTTGGGGTGCATTTTTAATAAATTTTAATAACTACTTAATATTTTAATTTTGTTGAAAGAAGTACTAGTCTGTCTGTCTGTCCATCCATCCATCCATCCATCCATCCATATCCATCAAGTTCATTTATCAAGTTCATTTATCACTGAAGATTTTCCAAGAGGGAAAAATGTTTTATTAGTTCTCAATATTTTCCATAATTAACTACAAATACAATGAAGAATTGTGGAGAGTTCATTCTTCCTTACCCAAATAGTAATTATTGAAAAATATAAGAACAGTGTCACCAATTACTAATTCCTTTTAACTGACAAATCAGCTTACCTGCATTTGACCTCCATCAAACTCAGGGAAATTCACTCACAGTGGACTTTCATAGTTTTCTATATGCTGCTATAATTCACAAGTGGCACCTCATTACATTTCAAAAGGGCTAGTACTTTTCAAAGAAATGCAAAAAAGTGCAGAAAAAGAGAATTATGCAAAATTATGGTGAATAAGTGATAGCCACTAATAAAATAGTTATTTGTTGTTTAGTTAACAGTGGCAGTATGCCTCTGAACATTACCTATTGAAGGATGTAATGGGCATGTGCTATATTATGAGTTTATGGCTGTCTCATAGATTCCTGATTGCCCTTTATGGCAGCAAGTTGTGTTTAGGAGAAACTTCTCACCCTAAAGACAGCTCAGATCTTATGAAAAAAATGAATTTGAATAGTAAATTATCATGCAAGTACTCTTGCTCTCAAATTGTTTTATTGTGATGATTTTGTCAATTGTATTTCAAGAAGGATATACGTGCATTTTTATGGAAAGAGGTCTGAAATGATTATGGACAAAGTGAGAGCCATAGATAACACATACAAAGAAACTAAACATATGTATTCATATATAGACACTTGCACACATCCACACATAGATTATCATAGATTTCTGCCTTACAGCAATAGAGTTAATCAATCTCCTAGTTAAATTTTAAGAATATGCCTAACTGTATAAACATATTTCTGAATTAAGAGGGAAAAAACGTTTGTAGAATTTATTGGCTAAATCTCTTTTTCATACTTATTTTCCCCTTCCAGATATTAAGTGATTTTCTATGAAGAATTTGAAATGGCAACAGGGAGCAATAATACTCATATACTAAATAATTGCGATTCAGTTGACCAGCCACTTTTAGAACAAATGACAGAACAGTCACGGGATACTTCCTGCTTGAATGCTGCAGAGTGGCCACTGCGGCGTTATGGCCGATTTATGCCTGGAGCTTTGGGCACTGCTTCAGGATCTTGGAAAGTAAATTGAATTCATTGTGTCTTGAGGGAGAAATTATATGTTACTGAATTAATATAAGAGCTGTGCCAGAAGCAAATCCTTCTTTGAAAAGGGATTCATTAGGGCTCAAAATTATATATTGTTCCTTAGAATATATAAATAATTGTGAATACATCATAATATGTGCAGTTTTCATGTTTTTCAACAACTCATAGATTTTCCACATCTTACAGTATAGACAGCACATCTTCTAGATCAGGTGGTGCAATGCTAGGACTTGCAATGTATTTGATCTGCCATTTTTTAGAAATTCATTTTGTTTCGGCCTCTAAAGATTAAAATTTCATGAATGATATTCAAGTTTTGTTTGTGAGTTTCCTGGGAGCATACTTTGTGAAGGCTTCCATTTTTGGATGTTTGCTAGATGGAAGAAAAAGAGATAATATCTGTCCTCTAGTAATCATCCAGATGTTTGCATTCCTAATCTGGCATCGGTTTTGTCTGAAGTGCAAAAATCAATGCTGAATTGAATTATTTCTTTGACTCAGCATGGTATTTCCTATGTTCTTAAGCTTAGTTGTCTTTCCTCTGTGTTTGACTAAATATCTAGCACTGCAGAATACTAGCATCATTTTTTGTAAATAAAATAAAATAAAATCATAGTACCTCTTTTAGTTCAAACAAGATATCCAAAGTGGCTTACAAAAAATAATATATTAAAAAAGGAACTTTCATAGAAAATAATCCTATCTAAAAACAGAACAGAACAAATTCTCTGCACCCTGATAAAACCAAGCATGTTAAATCAGTATATTCTTATTTTTATTCCCTTGTTTATAATGATTAATATGGTTATATTTATTTCTTGTAAATAGATATCCAACATAAACATATTTTGTATGCAAAAAATTTTTTAGAAAAAAAATTATGCCTTTATTTTCTGGAAACCACTTCCTTTATATTTTTGCCATGTTAAGATTCTCTTTCTTAAAAGGTTTTGGACTCAAATGAAGAATCTGGCTTTCTTATTCTCAGTATAGTTATTTCAGGGCATTTCTTCATTTCCAGAGGAAAAGAAGTACTGGTAACTATTGACATATTAACTTTTATATATTTTTGTTTCTGAAACATATCCTCTCTCATTGGTATAATGCTTTTCATGAAAAGAATATTAAACAGTCTCAGTTCATTAGTGAATTAAGTCAGCGTAGTTCCCAGGCACCGTTAGTATTTATATTAGCGGTCCCCAAACTTGGCAACTTTAAGATCTGTGGACTTCAACTCCCAGAATTCTCTAGCCAGCATAGCTGGCTGGAGAATTCTGGAAGTTGAAGTCCACAAGTCTTAAAGTTGCCAAGTTTGAAGACCTCTGTTTATATGAATAGAATTTATATGAATATAATTTATATACAAATCCTAATTCAAGAAACAGTCAACAAAATATTGCACAATTGTTCATCCAGTGATGAGGTAGAATTTATCTCAAAGCTCTGTTGTAATTCTATAACAAAATTTCACAAGCCACGGGGTGGCTGAGCAGTTAAGGTGTTGGACTGGAAGGTTGGCAGTTTGAGACCTAAGTACCCTGTGATAGAGTAAAATTCCATTACTTGCTCCAGCTCCTGCTAACCTAGCAGTTCAAAAGCACGTACTCTAAATGCAAGTAGATAAATAGGTATCAGTTTGATGGGAAAGTAACTGTGCATCAGTGTATAATCATGCCAGCCACATAACCTTTGAAATGTCTTCATACCTACTCTTTAGGTATGAATCAGAGATGAGCACTACCCACACTCTAACACAGCTGACAAGGGAAACCTTTGGTTTAAAAGGAGAGAAAATGAAGAAGAAAAAGAAGAGAAGGATCTTATCAAGGGTTACTAAGATTAACAATATGTATCTGGAATATTTTTGTTTTATCTAGTTAAGCATTACTATTAACACAAATTCATTATATTTGGATAGTGTTATAAAAAAGATGAAACTAGTAAACCAAATGATAAATGTAAACCATTTTAAAAATCCAGCCTGTAGATATATTATCTGTCACTAATTCCCTGAAACTAACCATGAGAAGCTGACACTTTATAATCAAAAGCCATTGATGTACAAGACAATTGCCAAAGTTTTATTATTCAAGCAGAGTCATTATACATCCTGAGAATATGAACATTCATTAAAATGTTTTGAAGCATATAGTTTTCAGTGTAAGGAATCATATTCAATCCTTTTTGAAAAACTGTAACTAATAATAAAATGTATTAAAATTGTGGCACATAATTTTTGGTTCATGATATAAAATATCATTTCACCAGGTTTTATAATTTATTTCTTTATTTTAGAGCTTATTACTAATTTTCCTAAATTTAAATTATATATCAATAAATCCAAGGATTGGTGCAGTATTATTTCACTTAAATTATCCCTGATTTTCAGAACTTCTTCACCTTTATATATATTTTGCATTTATTTCAGGAAGGATTTTCATTAATTGGTGCTTCTCAGTGGTTAAAAGTAGTACAAAAAGCAGATTGCATGTTAGTTGGTTCAAAATTAAAGGTATGCTTATTCATATGTCAATATTTTACTTAAAATGTTTTTTTCATTTATATTTTTCATTGAATTATTCTTCTGAAAGTTAGTCTGGTTAATGGGGTCAATGTAATCTAATTACCTGACTGTGGTTTCCAGCAGGAAAGAAACAAGACTACTTAATTTCATACCTTCAAACCAGGTTTTGTTTGCCTTCTAACAGCTCTGCCATCATTTGAAATGCTTGGGTTTCTGTTTACTGCTTATGGAAAGCAATGCATTTTTGCTTTTGATGTGTAGAACAAACAGCTTGACTTGCAATCCCATTCCCATCTCTTTGTTCTAGGTTTTTAAAGGGTCAGGCAAAAGAGAGATTATCTACATAAATTGTTTGCCTCCCCAACCCCTTATCCCACTCCACAAGTAAAAAAATTGGAGAAGAAATTTCAAAAGAGTACTGTAACCATTTGCATGGCATAGCTCCCAGCCCCAGCTGTTGGTGCAGCATATTGCTTTTGATGTGTAGAAGACCAACCAGCTTACTGTTTTATAATCCCTTCCAGTCCAGCCCTTCTCCCTCCAAGAAGGGAGGAGATAAAGAAACACAGGTCAAGCACAGAACAATGTGTACTGACTGTAATGGCATGACTGAGGAATGCTGTGAACATCATAAATAGTTGTAAATTGGCCCTGAAGTTATTTTTTTCAGCACCACCATAACTTCAAATGGTCACTAAATAAGTGGCGGGTAAGAATAATATTCAGGCTCTGATATTTGAAGTTTCCAATTGCTTAATGTCCCCAAAAGACTATTGAGAAGTTTATTCTGAACACAATCTAAAAGAAGGTAACATTGTTTTTAAGAGCAAATCAAAGATAAATTTTATTTCCCAGTTGTAATGTAATATATATATAGTAGACCTCACAGTAGAGCTATCAGTCTACACTGCTTTAGATAGCAGCAAAGAAATCCATGAAACAGTTGTCCAGATTTTTGAAGTTCAAATCTAATAACCTTTCTTCTCACACATTATTACTGATTGACTAATCACTAATTGACTAATTGACTCCTGGATGCTCATAAATCTCTTGAAATTGAACTTAATTAATATGGTGAAAATATTCAGTCTTGGCATAATTCTTTCCCAATTATGAACTATTTTGTTGTCCTACATAAGGGCTGTCAAACTCATAGCCCAGATGCGTCACGCACTGGCCACCCCCACCCCTGGTTTAGCGAAGGAGAAACAAGTTGTGATATGTCATGTGACAACCACCTGTCCAAAATTCTATTTTCCCTGTTGTTTTTAGTCATTTAAAAATTCTTCTGTACATGAATGAATCATATCTTTTAATGGTTGTCAATAGTTTGATACAGTGAATACATTCAAAAGCTTTTAATCATTTAATTACTCTTTAAAAATTCCCTTGCTTATTTCTTAAATCCTAGGCTTCTTTTTCTAGTGGGCACTATCTTTCCTGAATTCCATTTTAACCTTTGCAGTATTTGCATTTTTATTGTTCTGTTTATTAAGTCTGGCTTGCAAAATCCTGAGCTTTAATGAGTATGTGAAATAATTTCAACTGTTTTGTAATTGAAACAATTAGCAGTGTTAGCACTGTTAGCACTTAGCACTGTTCTTTGATTATATTGGAATATATTTTCTTTTCAATTTCCTTGGCTTTTGCTGTGTTATTTATATCTACTTATAAAGCACAAGAAATTCTTCGATTACATCATCTTGTAAAATTTAAATGTATTTGATGTATGTCATCAATTCTTGAAGCATTGTCATTAGCAGTATTTTCAAGAGCCCATTTAACTTCACTTTTCAGACTGTCAGATAATACTGTGTTTCTCCAACAATATGGCCTCCACCAATAGGAAGGCCCAGCATGCTTTATCGGCATAAAATCAAATTAAGCCCCTCCCCCCAAATTAAGGCCTATATTAAACATGCGAAATGGGGGAGAATGGAGGGGGGGCTTGCCATTAGGAAGTAGTTTTGTTGCATACCCGGATATGGTGCTGCCTGCATTGACTTTGGCGTTGGTGGGGCACTTCATATCAGGAGACCTTCCTCCACCATTGCTTTCCCTTCTCCCTTGCTGCTGCAGAGTTTAGAGCAATGCCCTGGCATTTGGCACAGCCATGCGCAACCAGCCAGGGCTCCTCCCTGCATCCGGAGTCCAGCGGAGAAACTCGGCTTCAGGTGCTCCTGCCACCTCCTTCCCTTCGCCTGCAAAGGCAAAGCCAATTCTTTTAAAAACGACACCCTACTACCGGTATGACAAACCTCCCCTGCCCGAGAGGGCAGCCCAACCCCACGTGGGGAGGCAAATCTCCCGGGGCCACAGTGCAGGATCGGCCCACCCCGGGAGAAGCACCCAGCCACCATCCCTGCCTGGTGCTGGGCAGAGCGCGAAGAGCTTCTCCTGGGGCGCCCAGCGCAGCTGACAGGCAGGCCCTCCTACCCGCAGCAGAGCTCTCACCAAGGCAGAGAGCACCTCCCCGCTGGACCCTCTGCTCATCCTGCCAGGGCCGCACCAGAGCTGTGCGGGCTGGGCAGAACCAGGAAAGCAAGCCGTGGGTGTGCGCCTGCCTGCCAAGCAAAAGAGCCAGGCCGACCTGAGCTTGGCTTCCTTCCCAAGTCCCTCCAGTGTGAACCCAAAGGGGCCACCGGGAGAGGCACCCAAGGCAGTGATAGCGCCCACCCATCCATGGACAGGAAGGCAAGGTGATGGCCTGCTCGGCGTCCTCCTCTGAGCTGAGCCCCGCCAAGTCAGCGCCTCTGCCTGATGCCTGTTCCACTGCAGCGTTTGGAGCTGCTGGCGCATTTGGAGATGCATGGAGACAGGGACGGGCTGGGCAAGGGGTGAAAAGGAAGGGCGGCTTTGGACTCTCTCCGCCGGCCAGTGAAGCAGCGCTGCCATCACCTCGCCTCCCTGTCTGCGAATGGGTGGGCTCTATCACTGCCTCGGGCAGCCTCTCCCAGTGGCCCCTTCAGGTTCGCACTGGAGGGACTTGGGAAGGAAGCCAAGCTCAGGTCAGCCCGGCTCTTTTGCTTGGCAGGCAGGCACGCACCCACGGCTTGCTTTCCTGGCTCTGCCTAGCCCCCATGGGCTGGCGTGGCCCTGGCAGGATGAGCAGAGGGTCCGGTGGGGAGGTGCTCGCTGCCTTGGTGAGAGCTCTGCTGCTGGGAAGGAGGGCCCACCTGTCAGCTGCGCTGGGTGCCCCAGGCGAAGCTCTTCGTGCTTTGCCCAGCTCCAGGCAGGGATGGCGGCTGGGCGCTTCTCCCAAGGTCCTTGGGATCCTGCGCTGTGGCCCCGGAAGATTCGCTTCCCCACATGGGGTTGGGCTGCGCTCTCGGGCAGGGGAGGTTTTGTTGTAGTAGGGCGTCGTTTTTAAAATAATTGGCTTTACCTTCAAAGGCAAAGGGAAGGCGGTGACAGGAGTGCCTGAAGCCAAGTGCCTCTGCTGGGCTTCGGTTGCAGGGAGGAGCCCTGGCTGGCTGCACGTGGCTGCGCCAAACGCCACAGCGTTGCTCCCTGGCGCCGCGTCAGCAAGGGATAAGGGAAAGCAACGGTGGCGGAAGGTCTCCCGATATGAAGTGCCCCACCAACGCTGAGGTCAACATCCAAGCTGTCGCTGCCCGCCCACCCGAGGATGCAAGAGGTGGAATTAAGTCACCCCCGAAAAGACGGCCTAGCCGTTTTTTCGGGGGTCAAAAAAAAATAAGGTCCGGACTTATTTTGTGAGAAACATGGTAGTTCATTGATTCATTCTTTGGTTTTGCTATTTTTTTGTACTTCTTTGATATAATCATACTATTTCTTCTTTTTGTATCTTCATTCTTCACTATATCTTTGTTTTCTTTGCATTTTATCACTCCTTTTCATATTCAAATTTTCTTTGATTTTCATAGTGTTCTTATTGCATCATCCAACTGGTTGTCTTCCCATTTTATGATTCTCCTCAATTTTATTGTGTCAGTTATCTATTCTGTCTTGTCATTCTCCCAGATGACGGTTTACTTCAGCAAATTTTCCTCTATGCTTTTAGATACTCTTCAGTTATTTTCAGTGTATTAGCAAACAGTCATTTTGCTTTCTGCATTTTTGGATACTTTTATTTGCTTCACTTTTCAGAGTATCATGAATTTAATGGCATCATAATTGCTATGCCAAATTCTTCAGGTATCCCACTTATCAAAAATAATCTATTAAAACTATTATTTATCTTTACACATAATCTTCTAGATATTTGTATTTTAGTGTTCTGATTATTTTGTGTCATTGGTTTTAAGATGTAATTTTACAAGGACAGATTTTTCCACAATTCTAGATGCTATATTAGTTTTATTTTTAACATTTCTGTCTTCTATTTTATTTCATGCCTTTTTTAATTTTTTGGGGGGGGGAGTTGTATGGGCTAGTTTTTTTAAAATATATCATATAGTCATCATGAGATGCACAGTGACATGAAGATGGAAATATTTGATTGAACAAAATACCACCTTAGCTATAATAGTTAAAATGTAATAAAAGCAGTAATGATGTAATGAGAAAAATCAAGAAATTGCCACAAGAAAACATTAAAAAGATAATATCTAAAAAATGAACTATTGGTTAGAAATTCAAATAGCTTTTTAGATCACATATAAAAGATTCGTTAAATAAAGCTGAAATGTGCAATGGACATTAATTTAACAAATGTTTCTGTAAGTACTAATATGCAGCAATAATGAAATTTAGTTCTTATTTTCTGTTTGTGGATTCAATTTAGAGCAAACATCGTATGTTTCGTATACAATTTACTGGAGACTCCAAAACCGAGGCAGAAGAGCATTGCCATAACTGCATGCAGAAACTAGCTGAGTATATTCCAATTCAAGTGACAGATGCAATAAGGCAGGAACTACAGGACAGCCACTCTCTGCTTCTCACTGATGAAAGTCAACTGAAAGATACCGAACAAAATGTCCCATTACAAGATATTGTAAGCTAGTGAATGTACGATATGTACAAGTGATTGGGCAAAGAAATGTAAAAATTATGCACTATAATGTTTATATTGTAGTTTATTACGTAAACAGCAAAATTGTTTAACCAAAATCTTTTGTTCTGAAATTATTTGTTTTCAGCCAGTCTAGGAATGAACAGATTTCTTGAATGCATTTTAAAATAATATTATTCATGTATAGTAGATACATGTGCGTGTGTGAGTGTGTGTACATACATACACACACGCACACACACAATTTTATAGCATGGGATCCAAATTTCAGTGAATGCCAACCTATATTCATTGAATACTTTTGATGTTATCTATACTTTCATTTAAATTCCAATTATATTTCTTTTGCTATTCTTATATTAAGAAAGATAACTGTTATCTCTTATTTTATTTACTATAGTATATATATTTTATAGAAAAGAAAATAAGAAAGGGGGTATATTCCAATCTTTAAATAGATTATGGTAGAATTTTTTTGCCTTGTATCCTCTACGAATTTATTTTGAACCTTTTCTAGGTTGTAAATGTATCTCCAACACATGGAACAACGTCTGTAGCTGAGCTGGCCCAGGTATTCCTAATATTTATCTAGTAGAAATGAAAGGCTAATTTATTACCCTAGAAAAGTATAACTTTTCAGAAGCCAAAGGTTTCGTACTTTTAAGGTATTTCAGTTTTGTAACGGAAAACGTTTAAAGATGGAACCAAACTTTGTAAATGAAAATCTACACAGAAATGACTCTTGTTATTTATAGAAGTTCTGTTCCAGCCAGTTAATAATGGTTAAATTTTAACAAAAAATCTACCCTTCATTTTGTGCAGACCCCCATAGCCTTCAGGCATTGAGATAGAACCTCTGCAGCAACACCCAGACAGCCTGAGGTGAAGGTATAAAGCTGCATATCATCTGCACACAATATGCTCACACCAAACCATTGGATGTCCTTACCCAGTGGCTTTATGTAGATGTTAAATAAAAGGGAAAAGAGTCCTGAGCCCTAAGACACCACGCAAAGGAGAAGCCACTGGCTGAATCTCTGCTTTCATCAACACCAAATGGAACTCACAAGGATGGGTGGAAGGAAGGAAGGAAGGAAGGAAGGAAGGAAGGAAGGAAGGAAGGAAGGAAGGAAGGAAGGAAGGAAGGAAGGACCAGCTCAATACCATGCTGCCCACCCCCAACTCCCAGAACCAGTTCAGAAAGATACTATGATCAATGGTTTCAAAAGTCACTGAGAGGTCAAGAACTGAGTAAGAATAGAGGAATCACCTCCATTCTGATTCTGCTATGAGTGCAATCGATGCATCTCAAATCCCATACCTAGGCCCAAACCTTGACTAAAAGGGGGCCAAACAATCTGGTTCTTCCAGGGTTCTCTGAAGAAGCAACACACACTTTCTACAGTTAGAAACTGGATTAATATTGTCCAGAATGGTAAATTAAATATCAAGATAAGGAAACCTTATTGGGATTAAACACATTAAAGATTCTTACTAACAAAAACAAGTAAATTTAGCTGCAATTTATGTCTCCTAGAGAGATAGCAAATCCATATTGATTAAAACAAATCAATGAAATATATTTTATTTTAAATTGTTAGGAATTTTTAAAGAAAATTGACTATTTTGTTCTCTTTGGCAGTGTGTGCTGATACCAGATAATCAACTTCCTCTTGCATATCAAAAATCCACATGGAGTACTGAAGATTTAAGCAGCTTTATTCGCTTGTGCCTGTTGGATCAACACTTCCCAGCATTTGTGGAGGATGTAGAGAAAGAGCTAAAAAAAATTATAGATGGCTAGAAAGCAAAATATTTAAAATAATTTTTAAAAACTCAACCATAATATTGTTGTCAGTTTCTACTTCTTACCTCTTTAATTTGCCTTAAGATTTTAATATGTATTTATTCTATCCCTTATAAGCTAAAGGGCTATATTTTCAGTTGTAGTATGTACGTTGGTATGTAAGCTGCACCTAATTATTTTATATAAATTAATATATTAATAATAAATATACATTTGTTACATATGATTAGTCATTCTGTCTGTGATATATATATCTATATATATGTTACATACATATATATATATATATTTCCAATAATGCGCAACAGGTCAACTCTTTATATTTTTGTAGTAATGAATTCAATTACTTCTACCATTATAATGGCTTTAAAGCACTTCATGAAATATGTTTGGAATTGTTTAACATAAGATTTACATTAAAAATACTTCCTCTGAAAAGAGGTGCATTAGTTTTCCCTTTTGTATTAGTTTGATGAATTTGAATGTTTAATAGGTGTTAAGTTAGAAACTGAATTTCTTTTCTTAATAAAAATTAGCTTGAAAGATATTAAACTGTTGATCATATGAGGACAATATTAAAATTCAAAGTACCAAATCCAGTTTTGTCAGTTCCTCCTTTTCTGAAAAATTCTAATTCCTCCATAGTCGATTGAACTTAATGAAATCTTATGCTTATTTGCTATAAATTAGAATAATGTAACTCAGTTCAGTTGAATGTCTTATTCTGAGTCATCATAGGAAAATAAATGAGTACAAAGGATAGAACAATGATTAATAGAAGGTAGGAAATGTTGCATGGGTTACAAAACCAGTTTTCATTCCATGCAGTAAATGACAAATTAAATGCAGCCAGAAATTGCTGCTTTACCTTAACCCTGTTTTGGTGTAAGAAATGAGAACAAATGTTTCCAAGTCATGAGAAATACTTTCCCACTTCTTAATCATTCTAATGGCCTAACTAAAGTTTAGAATACGATTGTCTGCAGTGGTCAACCAGCATTGCATATAATCACTTCCATGTGAGTTGCAACACTTAAAGCAAGGCTTTTCATTGCAGACATTTGCATGGTAAACAAATATATATTCATTTATATGAACATACAGTTTTTAACTGTTTATATTGGATAAAACCTGCAGTAAATGCTTTCTATCTAAGATGTTCTCTCTGTCAATAGGACACAATAAATTCTTTGGGAAAGTTTTCCTGGGGAAAAATAAAGTTCTCCTGATTCTCAAAACAAAATCTGACAAATAATGGAGAAACAAATAATCATACTTAATAACTCTTCCACAATTCGCATTGGACCTTCCCATATAAAAATAATGAAAAATGAAAAAAAAAAAAAAGAACTCGTAATAGTTTAAAATTGCTACCAAATTAATGAGTCTTTTGCAATATTCTGTTGTATAGGCTTACAACCATAATGGTAACACAGAGCAAGATAACACAATCTTAAAGTGTACCATTAATTGAAATTAATTTTATAAGTTAATAATCTTTTTATAAAATAAGAAAATGTTTCATATACCAGAGCTCACTACCTGACAGCTGCAGATTGTATTTTGTCTTCTCACTGGTAATTGCAGCCAAGTCCTTCATATAGTTTTAGACCCCTTGTTGTAGAAAGCAGATGATTAATGTTTCTCCAAGATGACCAGAAAGACTCAGGGGCCAAGCTACAAAGTTATCTATGAAACACACATCAATAATTGTGATTTGCTCCATTCTTTAGCAAGATCATTAATTACACAAATTTTAGTTTGTTTCTTTTACATTTCTTAAAAGCCACACATTATACAGGAATACATTTTCAGGGCATATTTTCACTGTCCCTTTAAGGTCAACTTAATGGCTAAATTAAATCTAATAAAAAACCTGCCCAGACTGAAATGATTTGGCAATATTTTGAAAAGGTTACACTCCAGACTGCAGATTTCATAGTATCTCCCGGATAATTTTTCTGTTGCTGTTCACACCCATTCCTATCATTTCAACTGTTTGTTCTTCACATGTATGGAAAAGTATGAATGGCAAAAATTATTATTGAATTGCCTATTTTACACTCATATACCTCCTCCCCTAAGCAACAGTTATGGAGAATAAAATTTGTATTGAAATTTCACAAGGAAAGCCTTTGTTGTGCTGTTTTTAAGAAAAAAAATGAATTGGTAGTTCAGGTTAGTTCACTGATCCATTGCTGAAATGAGCTGACTAAAAGGCTGTCTTTCAGCCCTTCACTCCAATAACAAATGATTGAAGGTTGAAACATCATGACACAAATTGAATAAAACATAGTAAAATGTACCAGACAACCCAAATTGCCATACTTGAGGAACATAGGCACAAAAATACTTCTTTGAAAGCAGAACAAGAGCAAGTTCCCAGAATGCATTAATGGTAGCTGGGTAGAGTTGAGAACAGAAAAATTTCATACCTCCCTGCCCTAAAAAAATAGTTGCTGACCTATTTTGGAGATGAACAAAGTGGGAATTTAATTTTATATTTAGCAGATCTTTCAAATAATTGATCTTACCTAACAGAGAGAAACATTCCTCTATTTTCCACCTTAATAAACATTGATTTAAATTATCAAACATATTCTTTAATCAATTATTTGTTACAATCTTTTTCTGAAAAAGGACATTGTGCTCTTTATAAGAAACAGAAAATATTGCAAGTAGACGATATTTTGGTAAGGAATTTCTGTAAATAGAATTGAACTTTCAAATTTGGAAAGAGCTACTTGCAGTATTACGCTTTGTCTGTCAGTTTGTGGCACATATATTGTATCTTTAGAAGCAAAGTATAATATTTTAATCTCCTGGACTGCATTAATATTTGTTTTATGATGTAAACAATTATCTTTATTAAAATTAAAGCGCTTATTTGCTTCCTAATTCCAGTTTTCTGATAAAAATATGTTACATGATTATGTTAATTTTTAAAGGGTGTACTTAAAATATAGTATTTATAAACAGCATTATCGCTAAAGGTTCATTGTCAATTTAAGGTACTGTTGCAAATTTAATTACTATAACCTCACTATCCACTATCTTTATATCAGCTTTTTCCAACCATTAAATTTCTACATTTTTTTATTAGAGCTCAACTTTTTATCAATTGCTCAATTTTAAGAAACTGTCTCTCAACTTTTTATCAGTTCTCAATTTTAAGAAGCTATCTATTCTATTTATAAATAATAAATTGATGTTGAATAAAGCAAATATGAAAGCGAAAACTTGGTATTTCAGGAGAAACAAAAATTGGATGTAGTGGAAATAGGGTACTTGAGGTGGTATTCAGCAGGTTCTGACCAGTTCTGGAGAACCGGTAGTGGAAATTTTGAGTAGTTTGGAGAACTGGCAAAAACCACCTCTTGTTCTAACCAAGGTTTCCTGAGACAGTAACAATCACACACTGTTCCCAAAAATCCTTTGTTTTATTTCAATGGCTGCAAATTATATGCATTCATAGCCTGTAATAAATCCCAAACAGTTTATAAATAGTCCAACAGAAGTCTACCACAGTCTTTCAGGATAAGGCTGATAAGCACCCACCTTTATCTCCCTTGAAATGCTGTCAATGACTAAATTGCCTATTATAGCTATACAAGGCCAAATGGAGCACAAAGTCAACATGGAGCTTCAGATTTTAAACCAACCAGAACGAACAAAGTTGCTTCCTGCAAAGGCTCATGTGCCATTGCTCCTCCTTTATGTCTTATGGGAGGGGCCAACCATCTACAAGCCTTACTCCCAAGTTGGCCCTTATGTCTTAACTGTTCTTGCCCTCTGGCAGCTCTGCGCAACCACGCACTGGGAACAGGCTCCCGCTGTCCCTCTCCCTTGCTGATGTCAGATTCTGGAGGCTTCGGATTCAGCACATAACTCTCAGATGGCCCTGTCCCTATCTCTGTGCTAGATGCAGATCCCTCATCCGAGCCCTTGCCAGACTCCAGGACTGGCCCATGTTCCTCCCCACTATCCAACTCTGCTGCCAGCATCGCAGGCTGCCGGCGGACCAGAACACCTCTGACTGGCCCCACCCCATCTATTCTCTGCCTCCTGAGTCCCAGCTGATTTCCTGGATCTTCTTTTATTGCCCTGAACAAGAGAACAGAACTGGAAATCAGGTTAGTGGGGTGGGAAGGGAATGGGATTTTGCAGAGACCTTCCCCCTGGAGTGGGAGGGAATGGAGATTTTACAGTATTCTTCCCCTGCCATGCTCACCATGCCACTCCCACCAAGCCACACCCACAGAACCAATAGTAAATAATTTTGACTCCCACCACAGCTTGAGAACTGTGAACAGTATAACGAAGATATGAAGTACAATTAAAAATGAATGGATTCCGAATAAATGTGAGCATAAAAGTGAGTGACTAGTTAAAAGAAATGTTTTGAGATAGTTTGTTCATATGGAAAGGTTGAATAATAATCAAAATAAAAGACAACTATATGAAAGACTAAGATAATTACTATATAAATCAACTCTTCAAAAATAGAAGTAAAATGTCTAAAGAACAACAGAGCAATGGATGAATCCTTTCATGAATGCAGAAAACCAAAATATTTTGCAAGCTTGGAAAAGTATAATGAACTATAATGGTAAACTATTTTAACTATGCTTCCTTTTTTCCTGTTGCATCATATCTTTTAAATCTAAAACATTTATCATTCTTTTTCTACTAAGGTAACACTGCTTTCTCCAAAAATGAGTAAGATGTTGGGTACATAGGGTAGCTATTGATGATGGAAACAAAGAGGATAAGGAGTTATAATTGCAATACTACCCCATGTGGTACATCGATTATTCTAGAGCAGGTGTGTCAAACTCACGGCCCATGGGCCAGATGTGTCATGTGCTGGCCCCACTCCTGCCCAGTTTAGTAAAGAGGAAAAAAGTCGCAATATGTCATGTAATGCCACCATGACAACATGAGTTTGACACCCCTGATCTAGAGTAAATGAGTTCTATAGATTCAGTTTGGTTTGG